TTTAACATGTTAACACATTGACGTGTGATTTATTGTACTGAAAAGGAGAAATAATTTAATTATATTTCATTTGTGTCCAGGAATACTTACAGAATAAAATGTCATATTTACACAGCAAATAAAATAAACTCATAAATTAATTTTAAAAACAGTCTATTATTGTAACACCCTTACGCAAAGGAACTATATTTCCTTATATATTAATGATAAATATTTTGGATGTGTATTGAAAGTCTACAGAATAATATATCGTGTTAATATTTTAATATATTAATATATTACCGCTTCTCATAATAGCTGTAATGTAAAAATCACATATACATACAAATATATTTACATAGGCACAAAAGCACATTTGTTTAGTACGTGTCCACAAAACAAAACTTTCTAAATGTATAAAAATTATACAACATTTTTGCTTTATTGTCTCACTTGTCAGCTGCAAGGGTTTCTGTATGACTGGCTGTGAATATATTACTGTGTATAAGTTTACATTTGTGGCAGCATTATTCTGAATGTATTGATCAGTCACCAGGATTGCTGATCAATGTTCTGAACTAGGTTCCTGCACAATAAATGTCTCTCACGAAAAAACAAAACCTAAAGTAAATGAAACCATAATTAGTCTACATCGTTACTGCAGTATTCAAAAGCGGTGAGGAAATCCAATGGAAGAAGGGAGGGGTTTGTTTATTGAGATTTATGATCAATATGAAAACTTTGCTTTTAAACATGACGTGGGTTGAAAAGTTTTTTTGTTTTTGTTTTTCCGCAAGAAGATTTTTTCAAATTGTGGGACTTTAATAGCATTTCCACATAATTAGAACCACTTAAACATCCAGCTGGATGAGGTTTGATGAATTTGCTGAAATTCTGAATGTACCTGTAAGTTAAAGGGTAATAGTGAATGGGACAAAATATTGCATAGTTTTTCTTTTCTTCTGCCAGGTTAACCTTGCAAACAAGAGACTGAGCAAAATGCAACTCTATAACATATTGTGTAAAATCTGGTCGGATGTAATTTAGAAGTTTACAGTTTGGTTTGTACATAACATATTCAAGAAAGAATGAATAGTATAAAATAGTGCTGGACATGCGATTTTCATATAGAAAATAGAAAACGACCAAAACCACAGCCGTGTTACTAATGAATGATTTTGCACCAGCAAACTGCATCCATTAACCATTTAATGAAAATCTTTTCTAATCTAAATGAGTGTTGATTTATTTGATGTGCATTAGTCTTTTTAGCGCCAAAGGAAGAGAATACACCTGCGATGCTCTCAAAGACATCCCATTGACACAAGTGCTCTGAAACTGAACACAATGAACTTTCTGGCACACTCAATTCACCAAAAGTAATTCATGACCTCGGAACACCGAATTTTCCTTGGCAACACGAGAGCATTGATAATTAATATGCCTGGGGTAATTTGCAGGTGCGGATCTTGATTTATTCTTAGCCCTTTCAGGATACAATACCCCTGAAAGAGCAGGGGCAAATAATCAAAGAGTAACATTTCTGAGTCTACAAATTCAATAAGTTATATAAAAATATATATAAAGCCATTTCAGCTGAAGAACACTTTAATAAACTGACTGTCCACCCTTTATTTGGGACAATTTATTGTGATAACAGAGGTTAAGCGACACACTCAGTGTTTTATTAATCAACAATATGCAGATAGTTACCGACACATTAAAAACTAGAAACAGTTCATTAAATCAAATTAAAGTGCATACTTCATCTGTTTTTGTAAGCTATTAACACCTCATAAATAATACATAGTACATACAACTCATGCTCACAACCAGAGACTGAAAAAGACTGAAAAAGACTGTGTTAGAGAGACCTCTACTGTTCTATGCACGTAAAAGCAATTTCATTTCAGTTCATGAGGTTCATTTTCACTTGTAGAGTGAAATATTACAACAAACAATACAACAACAATCTATAATCAGAAATGATTCTTGTAGAAATTTAGTGGATTTTTTCGGAAAATGTTAGGTATCTTCAAACACACTTTCCACTAGTTTATTTATATGCATCACAGGAGAATTTGTGATCTCTCTCTCTCTCTCTTTCTTTCTTTCTGAAATGTGTTTGTCGGATGAAAATTACAATTTGAACAATTTTGAAATAAAACGCTTTTACTAAGTCCGTTTTCAAAAGCTACCATTTTATGTATCCTAATAAACGCAACTGAATTATATTTTCACACTTCTTGTATAATTGGACAAATTTGTAAATATATAACAAAGAGTGAAAAATGTAAGGGGGTCTGAATACTTTCCGTACCCACTGTATATATATATATATATATATATATATATATATATATATATATATATATATATATATATATATATATATATACACATATATAATTATTATTATTCAAAGTGTTGAAGCAGTCTATTATCATCATCATTGGTCAGTTATCTCTTAAATTTGAACTATGAAACGGATAAAATCCATATTATTATTAAAAATGCAACCAATGGTGAAGCCGTAATTGATAGAAAGGAGAAATAAAAACAAAATAGGCTTTTTAACTCGATTTAAGCCTTAAAGTTGTCAGAAACAAGTTCATTCTTTGTGTAGAAGTTGAATATTAAGTGTCAAGTCAAGTGATTCAGTTAAATATAGTTGCCAATGTGAGCGATATTTCATCATCTTTTTTTTCTGTTGGGCAAAGTTACACACTGAGAATACACATTAACCCCGAGAGCAACAAACAAAGTTCACAGAATGCAAAGGGTGTATTAAATTAGCAGCAGCCCAGACGCCCTGGAAGATCTTCCAGCACCTGCATCTATCTCTCATTGACTCATCTCCCCTCACTCATCTGTATTCCCACACAAGTGAGCATCTCTGTTTGGGTGTTCTCCCTTCTGTCTCTCCTCAGGCTGATGTGGAGGACAGTGAACAAAAGTGGAACACAATCAGTACTGAGCAGCTGCTGGCATCCTGACCCCCAACCCACCCAACCCCTCTGTCTCCTACTCCCTCGCTCAGACACACACACAAAGCCTTGAAAATGACCACATAACCTTCACCAAACTGGGAATCTCCCTAGGCAACTGAGGGAGTTCTGCTCCGGTGGGACTGTATTCCAGTAAATCATCGGTGACATGAGCTTACATGCACACACATTCACCTACTTCAAGTCTTTCAAATGTGCTCGTATTGTCTGCTCTCAACTTTAAATGAATAGATAGATAGACAGACAGACAGACAGACAGACAGACAGACAGACAGACAGACAGACAGACAGACAGACAGACAGACAGATAGATAGATAGATAGATAGATAGATAGATAGATAGATAGATAGATAGATTAAGAAGTCTATTTTGCAAACCCCCATTTTCAGCAGCCATTACTCAAGTGTAATGTGCTAATATATGATGCAAGATGAACGTTAAAGAGCACTTCAGCTGGAAAGCATCTGCTGTGTACAAACATCTGATAAACGTCTTTAAGATGTCAGTTTTACAAACATCTGATAAACGTCTTTAAGATGTCAGTTTTACATATATTCTAAATCATAAACATCTTATAGACATTTTATAAATGTCTATTTAACATCTGACATATTGCAGATGAGCAAACACTGAGCAAACAGATGTGCTTCAGATGTAAACGCGCACATCACGTGTGCTATTTGTGTGTGTGTGTGTGTGTGTGTGTGTGTGTGTGTGTACAGGTATATATGGTTTATGAGGACACAAATGTGTATAATGACATGGGTACTACAACGTAAACATGGTTTATGAGGACACTTCCTGTGTCCCCGTAAAACAAAAGGCTTAAAAAACATACAAAACGGTGTTTTATGAACTTCAAAAATTGCCAGCAGTTTCCTGTGAGGGGCAGGTTTAGGTGTAGGGTTGGTGTAGTAGGGCAATATAGAAAATACAGTTTGTACAGTATAAAAACCATTACGCCTAGGGAGAGTCCCCGTAAACCACAAATACAAGTATGTGTGTGTGTGTGTGTGTGTGTGTGTGTGTGATTGTTTTATATATTTAGCCTATATTTTATTTACATTAATTATATTTATATGGACAATTTTTTTGTGTGCAATGCGGTGTGTTTCAAAAGTTCAAAAGTCCCAAATGTCCCAAACAATCAGTGTTGTCTAGTTTTGGTTGTAGTTTGTTTTGTTTTGTTTGTTTATTTAATTATTTAGTTAGTTAGTTATTTGCACTATACTGTCACAGCCTCGCTAAGGTTTTTTTTTTTTTTTGCACTATTGTTACAGGAAGTGAAGCAGAAGGTGACAGCTTCCTCGAAAATATATGCCAAACAGTATCATCTGCAATAATGAAAAATTACAGAATCTATTTTGACTCAAAATATCAATTTTATTACATTACAAATCTCTTACTAGGAGTTATAAGAGCAAAATTTGTGAACAAACAAGTATTAATTTACTTACAAATGTCAATACAATAATAATGTCATAGTTCCTCCAAACATTGTACTCAAATAAAAATATATAATTTAACTATTCACACAACAGAAATATAAACAACAGCCCAAAAATCTAAAAGGAATTAAATGGCATAGTGATTGATAAAGCACTGCATGAAAAACAGTAGCTTGGAAATGTGACTTACCTCTAAAGACCAGTAGATGGAAATCTTACCTCACTATGGGTATACACATATTTGTTGCAGGTTATATTTTCTTTTTTTTCTCACCACCATTCCTACTCTACCTGTATAGAGTGGCAGTGGCAGTGAAGTCCTTTCCTGAAGAAGCCATTCCCTCAACAAACCTGCTCTGACAGGCCTCAGCACTATCACAAACAATGTTTCACTGCTGCAAAGACATAAGGGTTTCAAATAAAATGCTTGTGTTCAATTAAATAGCTTAATTTCATAATAATTTCAATATCTAATACGTTTTACAACATTTAAATAAATGCTGAAATCAAGTGTTTCATTGCATAATGTCTCTGTTGTTTACTTGAGCTTTACTGGGCGGTGTGTGAGTTGGAGGAAGAGCTGCTCTGACAGCTCTATAAGTCATACATTTTGAGGCCAATGTGCTGAAGTTTTCCGGGTCTGAGTTAGGGAAAGAGGACGAAACGTCTACATTTTCAACGCCCATATCTCGTTATATGGGTCAGATAACTGGATTTTATCGAGCTATGCTTTGCTAATCGAGAGCGGTCACTGCTGCATAACACAAACAAACGCGTAATTTTCGCTTCTTTTAGAGACAGAAAGGTTTGTTTTTACTACGTTTTGTTTATTCTAAGAGCTCATATCGCATGTTAATGGTGATTCAATTATTGATACCACGATGGCAGTGAAGGTAAGTTTTGGCATAACACTGGGATAAACACTACTAATGAAATGACTGTGGCGCATTTGTCTCATACGAACTACAGCCAAACGACAATTCATGTTGCATTATTGTTACACGCTGTAGACAAAGTTCATCGGTGTACTTTAGTAATGGACTGTACTTTTAAGTAAAATTACCACCCGATAAAATAGGTTGTATTACAACAAGAGTTGTATGAAACGAATTCTAACAAAATGTTAAGTAGGCTAGTTTAGCAAGAGTTTAGTTAATAGGTCGTTAAACTGATCTTGACTTAGGCTATTTGAACTGTATAGTACCCTACACTGCTGTAGGCTACTGTTTGCAAAACCAGTACCGAAGCCCTTTTCTAAACGAATTCTATTGAGTCGGTTCTTATCAACGAATCATTTGAACCGGTTAGGACAATTCATTCAATGACTGACCGGTTCTCCAATCAAGAAAACATTGACTTTTTGAATCAAATCCCCCGAATCGAGGATTTGATTAATGGAGTGAAAAAAGTTACTTCATCAGTATCAGACATACGTACTGATAAATATGTAAAGTACAACATTGTGGCAAGTTTATGAACACAAAATAGCGTTTTAATAAACGTGTAAAAATGTTTCAGGTAAAATAGATTATAGTATGCCTATTTAATGTGTATCCAAATTATATTTAGGTTCTAAATGAATTATCGTTGCTGCAACAAACTGAACTGAGAATTATGACACGAAACTATGAATAGTAAGGGATAGAGTAGGCCTATGTGTACCTTTTGGAACTTATTAAATCATTCATTCATTCATTAATTTTTACAGCATGTATATAGCACCAGGGAGTCAGGGAACACGCGTTAAGTTAATTATGTTTTATTATCTTTTATTACAGGAATTGCTGAAGGTGTTTTGTTGTTTTTTTTGTTAGTTTTTTTGATTGTTTTTTTCATGAAATGGTACATTTTCAAAACTCTTAATACATGATTCCAAACGGAACACACAGCTAGTGGTTGTTTTGAAACCTGCTATTCTACTTTTGTGGTGTATACACAGTAAAAACATGAGATTATTGTGACATGTCATAAGAGCATGCTTAATCAAGGACTTTAAATGATACTGTGAGCATTTTGAAACGAGTAAGTAGCCTTGCACTAATTCATTGGGCATTTCCATGTATTGTTTTAGGCTACTATGTGCTGCATAGCTTGCAGACTTGCTGTTTTTCTTTATAAAATGGTCTGAACTGATAGGCCACTGTAGGTGACCTTTTTTTATTGATTGAGGTTAGTTTGAGTAATTTAGTCTCTGTTTATCACACAGTATACTGTAAAAAGATGGCTAGACTTTATTTGACGCATCAATTTCATGATGTGCATATTTTTAATGGGGCCCATGCCCACCTCCTTGGCATTTCTGATGGGCTCTTGTGCACAAAGTCATTGATTGGTACCTCTCGCTTGCCATCTTTCCTAATCTGTGTTGACATTGCAAATCGAAACACACACACATTTTGAAAATATATTGTAAACACTAAATTGGCACTATTGTACTTACTATTGTAAGTATTCATTCATAATTTTGATGCTTTACAAAAACACACAAAAAAGCATGGTTTGACAATAACCATAAAGATCAGTTAGATTAAATGATGAAAATAGTAAAATTGGTTACATTTATAAAAAAATAAAAAAAATGAAAGCAGATGCAAATGACAAGTTTCGCTAAGTGTATTAAAGCTGTAACTTAACGTTTTTGTATATATTGTTATTATCTGTTGGGAATTAGTACGGAAAATGTATTTCTGAATAGAGTTTTGAAAAAGAATTTCTTAAAATATCAAAAACGTGCGGTGTCTCAAACCCTAATGAGCTGCATTAGTAGCATTTGTGGGCATTATATGCAGGTTCTGAGTCATCTGGGTACAAATATACGCAAACAGTCAGCTGACTCAAAACCCACCACAAAATGCTGTCTAGGTAGGCACCTCAGGTCACAATGAGACAAGCATTTTGTGTCGCCTGTGTCCACCTTTTTGCTGTGAACAGGAACATGGTGCATCCTGTAAGGAACAGAACCCAAGGGAACATGTCATTCAGTGTACAATGATTTTTCAGCATTATCATATCCTTTTGATATGGATAAACAGTCAGCGCACTACATGTGGAAGCTGAGCTTGGTTAGAGGTGGTTTGGCACAGAAACCACATTTTGGTTTACATGTTGGCTGTGTTTTGTGATGGTTGGTCATGCAGATGAGCCCTCATATGCAGAAATGAGGCTATAAAATCTTCCAGCATATAGTAAGATAGATCTTTTTGGGTGAAAAGGTGACATTGCTGTCGAAAAAATGTGTTTCATTATGATAATCTCATTTGGGACCTGTGTGCATTCATTAGCAAAAATGGACATGTGTTTTTATTATTCTTGGAGCTGATGAGGAATCACCTACAAACTTAGCTTTATGTTTTTAATGTGATATATTGTTACACATGTAACATCTACATAATTAGATTGAAGTGTTTTAGTTTTTTTCAGCAACAAAACACAGAGGTGAAAGTTTTAGCCATGCCACACTGAAATATTCATGCAGTAGTTACTGTTCTGTGTTACCCATATGTTTGCTGTGTTCAGGCTCAGGTATTATATGACTTCACCGCTGAGCCTGGCAACAATGAGCTGACTGTTCAAGAAGGTGAAATACTCACGCTCACTAACCAGGTGAGGATATGCTGAGCTTCAGCACTAATGTTTCAAGACAAAGAAAACGTTATATATGCACAACCGTTCAAAAGTTTGGTGTCAGTAAGATATTTTCATTAGGAGTTTTTTTCTTTTTTGAAAGAAATTAACACATTTATTGAGCTGCGATGCATTAAATTGATCTAAAGTGAGTAAAGAGTATTATGTTGTTATATTGTTGTTTATTGTGCAGCAAATCAGCATATTAGAATGATTTCTGAAGGATCATGTGACACTGAAGATTGGAGTAATGGCTGCTGAAACTTCAGCTAGGCCATCACAGAAACAAATTACATTTGAAAGTATATTTAAAATTAAAAGAATCATTTAAAATTGTGGAAGTATTTTATGATATTACTGTTTTTACTGTATTTGTAATCTAATAAATGCAGCCTTGGTGAGCATAAGAGACTTCATTCAAAATATAAAAAGTCTATATATATATATATATATATATATATATATATA